AGCAGGAGGTGAGGGCCGGGAGTTGGCTCAGGATCTAGGGCAGGAGCTCCTCCATGCCTCGAATGATTCGCCTTCTGGTGACTTGCTGAGCAGATATTTCCCAGCCCAGGGCAACACTGACGAGGCGAGGTGCATGGCACACCTTGCTGCTGAGCTCAGTTGACCTCTCCCCAGGGACCAAGGAAACACACCATCCGTTCCTGTCAGGAGCCCGAGGTGCTGCTGCCAGATGAGCGCTGGGCTGCCAACTGCAAGGTTGGCGGTTCAAACCCACCAGCCACTCCATGGGGGAGAGATGAGGCTGTCTGCTCTGGTCAAGATGGACCGCTTCAAAAATCCTGTGCAGGGCCCCTATGAGTCCGGCTCGGCTGGATGGCGGTGGGTTTGATTTCTAACTCTTCTCAGGGTGTGGCAGCGGCTAGTGAACAGGGCAGGCAGGGGGAGGTCCAGGGAATAAATTGTGGCTTTGGGCTTCAAGTTGCCAACAGGGATGGGGTACTAGGGTGGACGTGGCCAGTCAAGAGGGGAGGTGGGGGTGGGAGGAGGCAGGCAGAGTTTGCCGGTTTTGCTCCTGATCCCCGTAGGGGTCATCAGGAAGGCTCAGCCACTGCATGGAGGGAGCGTGACTACTCAGATAAAAGGATCCCACTCCCGCCTGCCACATCATCCCTGCTCAGGACGGTGGGGGCTGGTGAGAGTGGGATGGAGACTACCAGGGAGGCGGATGCTGGAGGACCGATTCCCTCAATCCAACATCAGAGTTGAATTCCAGCTGTTGGGAGCCATCTGACACTGGGCTGGGGAGGGGGGTGTGGGATGGCACGAACCAGAGGCTGGGTATAAAGAGCACGCTAATTAGATTTATGGAAGCGACTGCATTTGGAGGTGTCTGAATCACCACCCAGGACACCCTCTGGTCCTCCGGGAGGCTGGCGCTGAGCATGCCGGGAGGAAGCACACCATGGGGTGCAGCCGGGGCCAGGAAAATCCTCAGATTCAACTGCAGGTCCCGAGAACTCGGCGAAGGCAACCGGGGAGAAGTTAATGGGAAAAAGCCCACGCAGGCAGCGCTGCCCGGCTCTCCCTGGCTTAGCTTCCAGAGAGGACTTGCTTCGTGGGGCTTCGGACCACGTCTTCCTGCTCTGGTCATGGTGATGAGGAAAAAGGGGGGAGGGCCCAAGTGTATACAATGTCCGATCACCAGAACAGGAAATGCGGTTGATGCTCAGCTAGCAAGAGGGTCTCCCTCCGAGAACAGAAGGGGCCAGGCACATCCTATGGCAGCCCAGTCTCACCCCTGGTTTCACGGGGACAATGGTGCCCTGATCAAAGATGGCGGCTGGCTACACGGCTTTGCAGGTCCGTCGCGCTCCACATTCCTGGCTGGAACCCAATCTCCCACACCGGCCTCCAGAAAGGGCTCACTCTGCCTCTTCTGGGTCTCCAGATCCAGGGCTTTGGCCCATGCTGTTGTCTGTTCTGGCTAGCACCCGGCTACAGCCCAGCGTTTAAAATTCAGATCTGTTAAGATTTTGCCTTCGACCGAATTGGTTTAACCCAGTTTGAAGCCCTGCTTTGAAGTCAACAGATACCTTCCCTAGAGACTCCACGTCTTGGGGGAGGCGTCAAGAAGCATGGGCTGAGGTTGACTGGCAGGGCAGGGAAAGGGTAGGATAAAGGTGGGAGCAGGAACTGCAGGTACAGCTGTGGCATGTCCGCATTGCCACCACTTGCTTGGGGCTGGCTCTTAGCCCGTCAGGGGTTGGAATCACAAGAGAGCCTCTAGAAGTAAGAGAAAGCTGGGCCTTGGATCTGGGTGCAAAGCCA